TTTTTTGCACTCTCCGTTGGTTTTTTATCGTCAAACAATTTAGCCCAATCATCGAAAACAGCAGACGTCGTTACTTTCATTTGTTCGGCTGATACTGTTTCAACCTTCTTTGCTGTTAATATTTCGATATCATTTGATTTATCTCCTAATAAGTCCGCCAGTAAATCGGTATGGCTAGAATTAGTTAAAGAGGATGCGGCAACTCCGTTCGAATTGTTCTCAACTGTCTCTGTTGGTTGATATTTAACAATATTTTTATATCTTTTCATTACAGCAATGAGTAAGTCATTAGTTTGCAGTGCCTCAGCTGGATTTGCACAAAAAACAATTATTCAAATATAAGTTATTATATTTAAAATATATTTACCTATAAGATCCTCTTCAGTTTTTTCAATTATTTCCGGTAGCTGACGCATTATCGGTTTATGTTTTTTACAATCCAAATAGAGTTCTTTTAACAAAATTAATGTATCTGCATCTTGATGATTGTTTTTATTTTTCTCCTTCTCATAGTTATCTAATAATTGACTGAGTAACTCAACTAAATTATCAACTTCCTGTATTTGATTTTTTTGTTGCATAATTAAGTTTTTTCGGCGCGTTTCCTGTTTACATTAAAAATGTTTTAAAGGAACTGAAAGTAATATATATATATAGCACATAACCCACCTGACTCACTCTGCACTGTATCAACAAGTTGGCACGTTCGTAGTTTTTCGGATCTTTACTTCTAATTAAATTTACTAATTTCTCTTCATCTATCCCTAAGAGATTATCTTTTCTATTAAGAATTGTAGTTGTTTTTTCTGGTTCCGCGACATATTCTTTGGATAGCATTTCATAAACAGCACCAATTTTTTGTCGACTTGGATATTCTGTTGTCCAGAGCATTAAACATTTCATAATTCGTTGCTTTATTTCTGTCGGCGTTTCGGCTCCTTCATATTTTGGTGAGACCAAACGTATTAAATTATTCAAAAACACATTTTTACTCGTTTCATGTTGAAATTCATCTCCACACTTAGCCATACATTCTTCCAATAACTACATAAGTATACGCACAGAATTTTTGTTAAATATGCTGATAAGCAATTATATCTTTATATCGATGGCTTACCTCAATCGCTCTTGTCGCTTCCATAACATTACTGGAACGTACTTTAGACATCAATAACTCATGCGCTTTCTGTATAAGTTGGGAGTTGCTACGCAGTACCATACAGAACATTTGCACACTCAGCTCATCTACGGGTTCCTGCTCCGGATTGGTAGCACGTACTGTTTTATATGCAACAACAATATTTTAAAGATGCAAGCATTGAAATGTTATTATATTTGAAACAATTACCCAGCATAATATCTAAAAGATTTTCATCCGTTGTCATTTTGCTACTTAATCCAAGTAATGTGTGTGAATCACAAACTTATAAAATATCTTCCTTCAGAAATATTGCACTTTATTATTGCTAACTTGACGTTTCTTTACTGTGCATTCACAATAGAATTGCAAATATATATGTATGTGAAAATTTCGACACAGCTGTCAAAATATTGACAATCTGGCACTGCGATGTAGACAAAAACTGAAAATTTTTCTCTTGTAAAAAGTGAAAAATTTCTTTGTGTAATTTTGTGTTTTTAATACTATCGAATGATGAATATTTAACAATTACACAATATAAGCTGAACAGTTTGTGGTTTTATTATGGGTGCGTTTTCAAGCAGAAACAATGCTGCTGTGGAGGAGGCGGATCAAATGACCAATCAAGCCTACAAATATCCACCAAGAGCTGGAAACTTTTTTGGTAGTCACTTTATAATGGGTGGAGAACGTTTTGATACACCACAACCTGAATCATATTTATTTGGTGAAAATGCTGACCTCAATTTTCTAGGTAATCGTCCAACAGCTTTTCCTTACCCACCACCACAAGCTAACGAGCCAACAAAAACATTGAAAAGTCTCATCAATATACGCAAGGAGTCCGTACGTTTTGTACGTGCGCCGCAAGAGAAAAAAATCGAATCTTTTACAGTAATCAGTACTGGTGAAGAGCAAATAGATGGTAATGTACTTTGTACTGGTGGAGGTGATGCGGACACAGTGAATAATTGTGGTTATAATATTGAGTTTACTTTTGATTCTGATGCTAAATGTGCAATAACCATTTATTATTTTTGTACCGAAGAAGAGAGTCCCAGTGGTGTAACACTTACGCCACGTGAAGGACTAACGTCTGAAACGTACCATTATGAGAAGGGCATAAATCAATTCTTTTCACAACCTGGACATATATTCAAACCACAACTTATACCCGAAGATGATTTAATTTATAATCCCACGAAAGAACAATATCCAGTTGCAATACATTGTGTAGTTGAGGAAGGCAATGAAGACTGCCGTCAGTCGCATACGACTATTTGTGTGATAGACCATCATCCAGAAAGTAGCAGTTATGTATTACGTGCACTTAAACAAAAAATTTTCGTCGATGGACTTTGTTATTTACTGCAAGAAATCTATGGCATTGAAAATAAGGTAAAGCTTTGTTTTAAAAAAAATGTGATTACATTATTTTTTTTTTATAAAATGCTATTATAATATATACATACTTATTAATTGCTTTATGACTAACTAAAAACATTTATTCATTTTCAGGCTGTCAATAAGAGTTCAATTGATGAGGAAATTGATGATCATGGCAGCGAATGTGTGATTTGTATGAGTGAAACCCGTGATACACTTATATTACCATGCCGTCATTTGTGTTTGTGCAACTCATGTGCTGATTCACTACGTTATCAGGCTAATAATTGTCCCATCTGTAGAGCACCTTTCCGAGCATTATTACAAATACGTGCTGTGCAGAAAGGTATTAGCTCACATATTGTATTGCATCAGAATACTCCAACATCGGCAGCTGGCGAACCAGCACCATGCGATCAACATGTTCCACCCGGCTACATTCCTGTGTCTTTAATTGAGGCATTAAATGGACCACCACAATACGTAGGTGGTAGAGCGAGGTAATTCGCAATTTATTAATGCCATCTTAATACATGTGTAAATAGTAAAGTAGAAAAATTTATTTATATAATTTAGCGCTAGAAATAGTTTAATTTAAATAGAATATTACGATGTAACAATTAGCCATTTGTTGTCCTTGGTTTTTAATCTCTGTTCCATCTCTATCTGAATCTATCACAGTTCAGACAGTCTAGTACATTCTTTTCTGCGTACTATTCTGAAGCTCCATGATTGTTCTAATTTGGATTCCTCAAAACACTAATATAGCAGGAAACAAACGCGCAAATGAGCTAATTTTTATTTGCCTGCTATTTCAATTTCAATATAACCATTTTTTGTGATAAACAACCAGATTATTAATCAGATTTTATGATAACAACCAGATCAATAGTTCGTCTGACTTAATTCATAGAAGTAAAATGCGGTTATTTTTGTTTTTTAAAATATACTAACTTTTATTTCGAAAGTTTTTTTGTGTATCTCTACACGTGTTTCGGCAAATTCGCTTTTGCCTTCATCAGGAGAATTCCTAATATTAAAACATCTAGCAATCTTACAAACTATTTATACTATAAACATGTTATTTTTTAATACTAAACTTAATATTAATAAATCCTAAGGTTATTGTCCTTGGCGGTGACAGGTAAGAGATGGTGGCGGGGTTGGTCTGGTGTTGTTTTTATTTTACATACAGGTAGTTAGGTCGACTGGTTGTCGGTTTTTTGGGATGTATCTAAAAAGGCACGATGACACGTTGCCTTTGTCGCCGTTGAGTAAAGTTGTGGTCTGATATTTATGAATTTCGAAGAAGTAGATCGAAAACATCTAAGATAATATCGATCCTAATGGTTCGCTAATCACGCTGATCTATATGACGACATGTAGGCACGCTGAGCCTGCCCTGTCGAACATATCTACCGTTGCTTGAGGAGAAGACACCAGAACAACTGGTTTATCTATGTCCAGATTTATGCAAAATCAGGCTTAAGTTTTTGTGCGCTTTTTTATTAATGCACTTAGCGTTATTTTCAATATTTGTGTTGGCGAGATACTTGCTCTTATCAATGCATCCATCTGGTTGTAATATACCCAACTTTCCACCCAAAATTATAAGGAATGTAAAATCAAAACAGTTTTTTTTAACTAATTCAAAAGAATTCCATCCTCATCTATCTTCACCTACTTACCTACTATATTGTTTATCTCAGTTCTAACAGTCACCAGGTCTATATCCCTAAGCTACTCGTCTTTTCAGACGGCCAAGTATTCGCTCCTTTTAAAAGACTCTAACAAAGCGGGGCTTCCTTTAAACTATTTAGAAGAACCAAGTGTTACTCCCAATAGCAGCTTAAAAAACAGACCAAGTATTGTTTTCGACGGTTACAAGTACTACATGGATTCAACAGAAATTTAAAAACCAAGCCAAATTTTCTAAAATGATAACAATCAGCTAAAAAAAATGTTACGTACTAATAACATTTAAATGTTATTTTTTTTTTGTCAAATGTGACGCCTCTTATGACAAAAAGAAACTATTTATAGGTTGGAAGGGTTCAAATAGCAACGAAGAAACAACTACAATAATTTTAATTAATTTATTGAAATTTTTGCTGTTTTTTTTCATTACTGTTCGAACCTTTCTAATAACTTTTAAGTTTAATTTATTTGAAGCATAATTTTCTACCTTTTCTAAGCAAAGTTTTAAACATTATCTTTTCTTTTTCAACTTAAAGATTAAGTCAAGCTGATATAACTGATGGAATGCAAAGTAGCATTTTGGGCGATAACCACAAAAGCACTTCTCCACCACACAAAACCAGCAGTCAACGCCGTTCGAAATCAAAGAAAAACGTCTCAACATCCACGAGTACTACGGAAGTGGGCACCTTAACTAATGCCAGTAAAA